GGAGGAGGAGGAGGAGGAGGAGGAGGAGGAGGAGGAGGAGGAGGAGGTGGGGGCTCACCTGAAAGGCAGCTTCGTATTTGGCGAGAGCGTCGGCCACCGACGCCGTTGGAGGCAACATGAACCAAAGATGGACGGCCACGCAGCGCTTCCAGTCCAGCTCGGAGCACACGTTCACCGCCGAGTCCGAGGACTGCCACACCTGCAGCGACAACAACACCCCGACTCAAGACCTCTGCACAACATCTGCACAACATCTGGACTCTGGCTGGAACTCAAAGGTTCTCACAGGTTTCCCAGCGAGCAGAGCGAAGATCCGCAGCCGCTCCTCGCTCAGGTAGCGGTCCGTGTGCATGCGGCTCCAGTCTGCGAGCTGCAGGGCCAGCAGGTCTCTGCAGAACTGGGAGCCCACGGCCTGGGACAGCAGCAGGGACAGGCGGTGGTCCCCTGAAGACAAACGATGGACACGCTGTCAAACGAACCGTCTACAGTCGGACTTTTGTTCGTTCACAGAAACCGCGCTCTGCGTCAGGAGTTTATCTTTTCCCGGGAGCTTTGAACGCATCACGGCCGAGCCCCAGCACCTCCTCCTCACCTCCTTTCTGTGCGAGTCGACACGCCTCGCTGATGCGGCCGCCCGTCAGGAAGCTGAAGATGGCGTCCGTGTGGCGGCCTTTCCCCAACAGACCCAACTCCTCCTCCACCCTGCAGGAGGCGCCGCGGGACAGCCAGGCCGAGAAAGTGCGCCTCCTCTGCAGCTGCTGCTCGTACTCACCAAGCGGCTCGGCGTCGAGCTCCTGGTCCGAGGGGCCCGACCGGCCCCACAGGGCCTCGCACAGGGTCCAGACCTCGGCCCAGTCCCCCAGGAGGGCTGCAGGGACAGGGAGGTGGGGTTAGACAGCAGGTCGGGCCGGTTCTGAACGGAGCGGCTGATACTCACGCTCGGCGCCGCCCCGCTTGGCGTTCAGCTCCGTGATCCAGTCTGCGTACTGGTGCAGCGCCGCCACGCCGGCCTGAGGCCGCACCACGGGACAGCTGGTTCCATCTGGGACGCTGACGGTGCTGTTCTCCAGACAGATCTGCAGGGGGCGCTGCACCACCTCCTCCTCCTCCTCCTCCTCACTGAGCTTCCCCTGAGGGGGGTCCAGACCCAGCAGCTGCTCCAGAACCACCTTGTAGGGACTTTCAGCCAGCCTGAAACACACACAGGTCACTGAACCACCGTCTAGTTGTCCTGTTTCCCTTTACTGCTGCTGCTCACCTGAACTGAAGCTCAGACTGCTTCACTTCAACAAACTTTAACACATTTCATCACTTCACACTCAGTCAGCACGATTCTTATAATGACCACACAAGTCCCTCGTTTATCACGGGGATCTGAACACTGAAGACCCGCGATAAGTAAAAGAACACAAAGCAGGAATATTAGTACAAGTACATATTTATATACATATTCAATTATATATATATATATATATATATATATATATATATATA